AATTTTATTTGCTAAATGCCAAAACAATGAGAGAGAGAATTTTTAAGACAATTTTTTTTTATTTTCTCGAGAGTCAAAAGTTTACATACATTTCATTAGTATTTCATTTGTATAGCTGCCTTTCAATTGTATGACTTGGGTCAACTGCTTTGGATATGCTTCCACAAGCTTCTCACAATAGTTTGCAGGAATTTTGGCCCATTTCTTCTGACAGAACTGGTGTAACTGAGCCAAGTTTGTAGGCCGCCTTGCTTGCACATGCCTTTTCAGTTTTGCCCATAAATTTTAAATAGGATTGAGATCAGGGCTTTGTGATGGCCACCTCGAAACATCGACTTTGTTATCCTTAAGCCACTTTGTAACCAGTTTGGCAGTATGCTTAGGATCACTATCCATTTGGAAAACCCATTTGCGCCCAAGCTTTACCTTCCTGGCTGATGTCTTGCGATGTTGCTTCAGTATTTCCACATAATGTTCTTTCCTCATGATGCCATCTATTTTGTGAAGTATACCAGTCCCCCCTGCTGCAAAACAACCCCACAACATGATGCTGCCACCCCCATATTTCACAGTTGGGATGGTTTTCTCAGACTTGCAACTTCCCCCTTTTTTCCTCCAAATGTAACAATGGTCATTATGGCCAAAAAGCTCCATTTCAGTTTCATCAGACCACAGGACATGTCTTCAGAAATCAAGGTCTTTGTCCCTGTGTGCATTTGCAAACTGTAATCGGGCTTTTTATGGTTTTTTTGGAGTCATGGCCTTTCAGCCCATGTCGGTACAGGACTCGTTTCACTGTTGATAATGACACACTCTTACCAGCTTCAGCCAGCATCTTCACAAGGTCTTTTGCTGTAGTTCTTGGATTGATATTCACATTTCGAATATAAAGTACGTTCATCTCTGGGACACCGAACCTGTCTCCTCCCTGAGCGGTATGATGGCTGGACATTCCCATGGTGTTTATACTTGCGTACAATTGTTTGAACGGATGAAAGTGGCACCTTCAGGCATCTGGTAATTGTACCCAAGGATGAACCAGACATGTGTAGGTCCACAATTCTTTCCTGATATCTTGGCTGATTTCTTTTGATTTTTCCCATGATGTTACACAAAAAGGCAGTGTGTTTCAGGTGTGCCCTAAAATACATCCACAGGTGTGTCCCTTATTAACTCAGATGTTGTCAATAAACCTATCAGAGGCTTACAAAGACATGATATCATCATCTGGACTTTCCCCAATTGTTTAAAGGCGTAGTCATCTTAGTGTATGTAAACTTTTGGTTTCAACTGTAGAAAAAGGGCCAAGTGGATCCAGCGAGGGGATTTCTTGGCCCAGATCTGGTTTTTGGATATGCAAACATCTCCCTTACTCTTTAACATTTCCATTCACTGTTTACGGCGCAGAGAGGTAAATGGAATGCTTTGCGATGACATGAGACCACCCCTTGTACGTCCTGAAAGTCAAACAGTGTTTTAAGTTTTGTGGGGGCCGTTCAGCTCCAGTAAAGACGAGTCAAACACAAAAACAAAGTGTGCCAGCAGACAGCTCACAAAGAACAGGAGAATGCTGAGAGCACCCCGGAGTGTTGCAATAAATGCCTCAGAGTCATTGTAAAGAGGATAATAGTCTCGTTTTCTCCTCCTCTTTCCTCCTGCAGAGAGACACATCTGTGACATTTGGATACTGTCTGGAAGCTCAGGAGAGTCGAGAAATCACATCTCTGTTTCTTTATGTAAATAAATTTGATCATTTTCCTCTCAAATGTCCTCCTGATATATCATCCCAATAAAACATCTCCAAACCAATGAGGTGAATCTCCAACAGGTAAGGGTCTCAAAAGGACTTTCAGAGAGAACGAGTGTCTCTGAAGGAAAGATGGAAGAGGTTCACCACGCTTCGAGAGACTGCATGAGCGAACAGTTCAACAGATTCAGAATAATATTCCTGAGTGTGAAAGAACGAGTGGATTTTTAAGGCTGAAAAAGCAAAACTGGTGATTTTGAAGCTTTCAGGTGATACTACAATAAAACAGGCAGGATACTGTAGTGGAAATCACTGCAAGCGGAGTGAATATAGTCCATCTCTGCATCCACAAATGAGGTTCAAACTGACAACCACATAAAAACAGTCTAGACTCTGTGACTCTTCTGGACCTCAGTGAGTTAAGTTAGTTTAAATACTTTGCAAACCTCTAAAATTGTTTTTTAATCAACATTTATACAGTGTCATAACTGTTTTGGAGTTTGGGTTGTATTAAAAGTTCTTCCATAAATCAGGTCTTAACCCCTTAAAAGTTTTTTTCTTTGGAAACCCTGAAGAAAAAGAAACCCTGATCCTGTTCCCTCTAGCATGGATCTGAAGACAGTTTAATCCAGTCATTCTCTGATTATAATCTGATTTTTTATAAATATTTCCCATCAAAACTTAAAAAAAAAAGAGTCCAGATTTAATGTGAAAACATGGATCTGTTAAGTCCGTTCCTGTTCCTCTTTGCTGACTTCCAATTTCTGTCTCTATCATTTCTTCATCTTTTCCTCTCCTCTGATTCTCTCTGGTCCTCCTGAACAAAACTCGGGGTCACAGAGGGTCAAACCTACTGGTGACATCTGCTAATTGTCCTGATAGTACGGCCTCTCTGGTCGGCTCAATACCAGCCACTCTGCAGGAGTCTGTGCAGCCACAGCTGCCTCTTTCAGCAGGAGCCTCCACAGGATCACAGACCCCCCCCATCCTGAGGCCCCTGGAGCCTCCTTCACCCTGTAAAGAGGGTCCACTGTGGGCATTGACAAACTATGAGCGGTAATGTGGATCTAAAGATGGGACTGTTAGAGGGATTGTGGAGGTAATGAAGCTGTTTGAGGCAGATTACACATTTAAAGCAGCCAATTAACAGAAAAACACAGTGACGGAGGGGATTTGGTGTAATTAACTTCTTATTTCCATTTGACCTTTTCACACTGGTCCAGGATATTTGACTTTTTAAAAGGACTCTGACAGTCTTTGATCGACCCTTACTTTTTCTTTTCAGTAGTTTGAAAGTTTTTAAAAATGATTTCAATCTTCAAGTCTGACAGAAGACCCAAAAATACTCTGTGTGAGCTTCTTTCAGCTCATCATGATGTGAAAACTAGAAATATTGAACAGTTTTATCACTGCAGCAGCTGATAAAGGTGATGGGAGTATTTCACATGCCTTTAACCTCCGTCCTACATGCTTGTGGTCTTTAAACTTTGGGATCTGCACCAAAGTTTTAAATAAAGGTCTGTGAGTTTTAGCAAAGTGTGTCTGCACAGCAGGACTGAAGAAGAGACCATCAGCCACATTTATTTGTAAGAAGAAGAGTCAGAGGATTCAGAGTGTTTGTAAGGCTATGTTCACACTGCAGGTTATGATGCACAATTCGGATTTTTTGGTAAATCCGATCTTTTTGTGCGGTAGTTCACATTTCGTCCGTGAAGTGACCTGCATGCACACAAAGCACAAATTGCTTTTCATGCCTGTTTGTGTTGTCGAATAATGGTGACGTTTGTCGCATATTGATGACCTATAGGTTGGACGAACGTGACCTGAGCGTCCACACTGCAGTCACATCAGATACATATCCGATTTATATCCACATACAAAAGAGGCCTGGGTCGGATTTGAAAAAAATCAGAAGCGAGGGTGGAAGCGAGAAGACTGACACAACACCAGATGGACTATTTTCAGTTCTGATTAGACACTAGTGTTGAAATGGCTGTCTGTTATAATAGCATGTACTGAGTCGGGGCCTGTACCAGATAAGCACATAAAACTATCATCCTAACGGTGCTGTGACAGCAACGCTGTGATTGAGTTTGAGACAGTGAAAATACGTATGGTATGTTGTAGATTAAAGTTAAAACAAAGACGTTAAGCAAACTGGTAAAGCACACAAACCATTGTCATATGAGAAATCCGACGCTATGGCTCTCCACAAGTTGTGCTTCAGGTCGTTATCTTTGTAATGTTTGTGTTTTTATAAAAAAAACACTCTGTTCTCCAACACGTAAACAATCAGCCGGTTGGCCATGTTGGACATACCGGTGAATCAGATGTTGCAACAACACGCAATCTGATTGGTCAGAAGTGGACACTCAGTATGCGAAACTTTAGAAAAATCGACCATGATCTGAACAAATAAATGCCGCAATATTGCAGGATGGGAGAACATCGCTGATGTGAACGCTTATATTGACAGGATATTGGTTCGAAAAAAAATATTGACATCCGAAATAATCGCACGACAAAAACAGTCCTGGTGTGAAAGGACCTTTACTTCTGAGAACTTGGCCTTTAAATCCTGTTTTTACTGAACCATCCATGCCCCCCTGTTTTTCATGTGTTCCTGTGTCTTTTTTTTATTGTTCGTTTTAATTTTCTGTTTTTTATTGTTTTTAATTTTTACTGTACAGCACTTTGGTCACTTTGTTGTTTTTAAATGTGCTTTATAAAGAAACCTGGATTGGATTTTTGTTCTTGGTCCCCTGTCAGGTCTGAGGGGTCCCATAAACTTGTTTGTGGTTTCTAATTAAACCGCAGTGCTTTGTGGGTACTCTGCTGCACACAAACAGGACAAATGGCACTTTAGAAAACGAGGACTGAAGAGGGAAAAAGAGAAAAGGCAAACTTTCTCTTTGATGAGTCCATCAATTAGCATCACAAGAGGAGTTCACGTGTCCTACCAGCGTAAAATCCAGCATCAGCAAATACTGACAAGAAAAGCACAAAGAGGAACACGGAGGAGAAGAAAGGGGGCACATTTTAACCAGATGCCCGGCAATAAATAACCCGCTCTCTGCCCCTCCACCTGTGCGCGCGCATTTACATTTTCAAGTGTCCACGCGGGGGTCCACGGGGCCGGAGCGTGTCCCCGCGGCATCATTCACGCCTGTTTTTGTGTTTGAATGAGATGTAAATGTGCAGAGGCCGAGGATATAAACCCGAGAGGAGGACAGACACGGACACTCTTGAGTCTGACCCACGGAGAGCTGACATGCAGCCTGCAGACAAACGAGCCCAGACCCACAGGACGCCCTTCTCCGTGGACGACATTCTGGATCCTGCAAAGTTCACCAGGAGGAGAGTCTGTGCTGAGGAAGCTGAGGCAACAGGTGAGAGGAAAACGACAGGAAAATGACCTCCATGCAAGAATATTTTCTGTAAGATAAAATAGAAAGTACGGTGGCCGAGAACTGCTACTGCTGCAAATAAAAAAGGATGTAAAAAAAAAGAGTCACAACGGAAGTTACTGATGCAAAAAAAAAGACAAGATAGAAACTGAAGCCCACTAAAAATAAAATAAATTTAAATTAAAAATCCAAGACTAGCTCAAAACTCCTCACAGGAACAGTTTTCTTTTTATTTAACAGAGTATTGTTTGGGTTTTTGCATCTTTATATCTTTTTTTAAATATGATTTTAAGGCCCTTTTAATGGCTTATTAAATGTCTTAGGGGTCTTGGACCTTCTTATCTTTCAGAATAGCTTTTACAATACGAACCCTCACAGACCCTGAGATCCTCTGGCACTGGCCTTTCAATAGTCCCCAAAGTGAGAACACTAACTTACAGTGAGGCATCTTTCCAGCACTATGGCCCCCGTCTTTGGAATAGCCTGCTGGAGGACCTTAGGGCCGCAGAGAATGTTCATATCTTTAAAAGCAGGCTCAAGACTCACCTATTTAATTTGGCTTTTAACTAATGTCTTATTTTTAGTCAACATTTTTATCTTGTTTTATTTCATTAAAAAATAAAAAAGGTTTCTGTCTGCCAAAATTAAAAAAAAGGCCCACAATGGAAGTGAGCTGCCGGGGACCAATAATGATGATGCACCGGTGTTTTACAATCTAGACACAGAAGACGACGGCGAGAAGACGAGCAAAGAAGTAAGTGGAAAGGTTATTGTTTATGAATTTTGCTTTGTAAACTTTTCAATGTGTCATTTGGTTAGACCATGTAGAGCCTAAGTCGATATAAAGTTGAACTGAAGCTAAAACTACACCAGCATCCTCCAGATTAACTTCATATCGACTCAGTCGCTACATGGCCTAACCACATTGAAAAGTTTACAAAGCGAAATCAAACAATAACCTTTCCACTTACTTCTTTGCTCATCTTCTCGCCGTTGTCTTCTGTGTCTAGATTGTAAAACACCGGTGCATCATCATTATTGGTCCCCGGCAGCTCACTTCCATTGTGGGCCTTTTTTTTCATTTTGGCAGACAGAAACCTTTTTTATTTTTTGCATTGCTTCATCTCATCTTTCTGCTTTTCTTTTCCTGTAACCTCATTTTCTGATCGTAATAGTAGTATGTATCTGAAACCACTTAGGTGACTTGTGACAATTTTAGCCTCTTATTTTGCTAGTTTAACAACTTTTTAACCCTAAATTTTAAAAATAGCCAAATAAAAAGGTGACAATAAACTTGTGAGAGAGGGAGAGGAGATGATTTGATCCCGTAAAGTCTTTATAAAATCTCTAACTCACATGTTGTTTTGTCTTTTTAGGAGATTTCCCTCCTGGAGTTGAAGCCAAAGAGCAGCAGCCTCCTCCTGCAGCAGGACTCAGCAGCCCAGAGGAAGAGGATGAGGAAGAGGAGGAGGAGGAGGTTCAGTATTCGGTGAAGCGTCAGAAACCTAAAAGCAAACGCCGTCGTATCCGCACCGCCTTCACACTGCAGCAGCTGCGGGTCCTTGAAGGCAGCTTCCACAGATGTCACTACCTGTCGGTGCTAGAGCGACACAGCATTGCCTCCTCACTGCGCCTCTCAGAGACTCAGGTGAAGATCTGGTTCCAGAACAGACGCACCAAGTGGAAGAAGGAGCGGCAGCAGCAGGGGGTGGAGACCGAGGAGGACTACGGCTTCACATCTTCATCATCCTACTCCTCTCCTCCTCCTCCTCTCTGCTCCTCCCTGAGCTTCAGTCCTTTATTCACAACTCCAGTCCACGTGTTCCCGCCTCTGCTGCCGTATCATCGTTATTATTTATAAACCATGACTGTAAAGGTCAAAACGACAGGTGGTACACACAGACTGTATATACTTCTATATACAGTCTATGGTGGTGCACCTGCAGGAGAAGTTTGTGCACAAAGACGCTCTGATGAGGAGAGCCACACAGGACTGAGGATCCCACATTCTCTGATATAACTTATTTTTTATTAAAGTTTATCTCTGTAATATTTATCTTAAACATGATACTCAGACTGAAGAATTTATGTCACTCAGGGTGAAGGTGACTGTAATTTTTCAAACACATGAATTAAAGATATTTTATTTTTATATTTATAAACTATGAGTTTTTTTTGTTGCTTCAAGTTATTAAAGCTCCTGTGGGAAGTTTTTAGCTGGTAATCAAATAGACTGAAATGAGCACTGATGGCTGAAAATATCTGTACAGCAAATTTTAACTTTAATTTTAAAAATGTCTCATTTTTTAAAGGGATATTCTGGCATAAAATTAATGTAGGGTCAAACACAATGAAACAATGAAAGGCCATGTTTGCAGACTTCATCAACCCTGACCTCTGAGGACTGGAACATATGCTTTGTCACTTGAAGATGTGCTCAGGAGTATGTGTGTAAACAAAGTGTGACATACATCTTATCTGAGTGTTTTTTTAAAAGTTTGATTTGGCTAAAAATGTGAACATGTCTATTTCACACAAAGACAGAGTTTGATCCTGTAACCTCAGTTTGAGATGAATGTAAAACTGCCAGAATTGGAGCCACAAAGTTTTACTGATTTATTTTCTAAGTTCAGCTCTTTAAAGGGATACCTGACTTTTTAAAAGTTAGCCATAATTGTACATAAGGATGAGTAAAATTACCTCATCCACATGGAAACTAAACAGTAGTCCTACACGGATTTATGCACACTGGGACCTGTTTTTAAAAAGTGTCATCTACAGTCACCTGAAACGCTGTTATTGTGTGAATAAAACGCCGATAAGACAAAAAACTTTTGCATTTACTCCTGATTTTCTTTCGGTGTGGGTGGGGCCTGTGACACCGATACTTCAGGTCCGTTTTAGGTAATATGACCATTTAGAAGCTGTTTCCTGGATATGTTGTAGCATCTGTTTCAAGATTTCAAAATTTAAAAGTGCTGAGCATAAATCAAGTTATTAATTAAAGACAAACATATTTATACATTTTTATTGCCAATCATCCAAGGCTTAACTGTGTGTACTGATCTTTATGAAGCCAATCAAACAGGACATTTTAAAAATCTCATTAATAAATATCAATTGCGATATAAACACCAAGATATAAGAGAAACACTCCAATCAACATTTACAATCATTTCAGAAAATTAAGAACACGTCACGTCACCTCATCCTGTCAAACTATGTGGGAATACATCAACTCCACCTCTACACATTTCCACTGGGTGGAAAATGAGGGAAAATATCAAATATCCAGAGTCCAGGTCCTGAGCTGATCTCAGAGCAGGTCAAACTGCAGCTCCCAGAGTCCTATCCACAACTCAAACATTTTATTTGGTTTGACAGATGGCCTGTTTTTAACCAGACAGCTACTAATACCACAGCCATAAGAGAAGACAGGAAGTCAAAGTTTAGAAGAAAAAAAAAACTGTTCAGATGTTCAAGGCAAATGACTCCATGACTTATTTTAGTCATTCTGTTCTCTAACAGTGTTGTCTTCATCTTAGTGCAGCTGTATCATTATGATTGTGTGAATTCTTGAGTTCTGGTTGGAGAAGGGGACTGAGAACCAGGTTTTTGGTCCTGGTATGTGATTGGTTAGTATCCAAAGTACCTCTTAGCACATGGAGAATCAGTGCTCCTCTCAGTATTTAATGTTGACATCCTGCTGTAATGTAAGTCTTTTCATGGACACTGAATGGTGACCAAATAGAGGACGACTCACTAAATCACAGCAGCTCCTTTTTCTATGATTGTTTGATTCAGATAAAATCATTTTTTAGCAGGTTAGAGCTGGTTTGACTCTGAACATTTGAAGACTTTAAGATTTCTTTGTTTTCACAATGAGTTTTTTCTCCATGTAAAATTCCCTTCACCATCAGAAACAAGTTTATAAAGCCTGATGAATCCAGAGAGCACCTTTAGGAGACAGCTACAAAGACCCACTGCACCGCTGTCTTTGGGCTCTGGTTAGTTAAACCACAAAAACAAAGTAAAACCTCAAGAGCTGTGGTCAAACTTAGGGTTGAAGTTATTTGAACTGTAGGGGGTGTACGTTCTCATGATTCCTGTAAAAATAACAGATTGAATTTTGCTAGTTTGTGTTTTTGATGCAGAAAGTAGAATTTAGAGTCAGGGGAAATAAAAGAGGTTAATTTTTAAGCATGTTTTTTTCCCTTTTTTAGTGTTTAAACTATATGACCAAAAACAGACTTTTCTGCTCCCTCAAAAAGTCTGAACTGGTTCAGTCTCACAGCCTAAGACCTGGGTCAAACCCCAGTCTGCTGCCGTGTTTGTTCAAAGGCTGTTTCAGCAGAAAGCAGCAGTCTGACCAATTTACATCAACATCTTAAACAGAGGCATGCAGCCGAGTGGGAGAAATGTGACCGCTACAGCCCACCAACACCTCAGCATTAGAGGAATCATCTTCACTCTGCATCACTGTGACAACAAAGGGACACCATGGAAAGCTGCTGCTGCTGCTGCTGATGTTGATGATGATGCAGTCATACTGCTTCTCCTTAGAGACATGGTGTCCATATATACAGTGGAAGAGCATGGCTGTTTCCACATGCTATGAGGTGTTATGAGGCAGACTAGTGTCAGTGCCAACCTGCAGCACCGAGGGCAAAGAGAGAGAGAGAGAGAGAGAGACATTAACATCCTATTTCCATCATTGTTTTCAGACACATGAAGCTGCTGTCCAAATAACCAATGTTCTCATCCACCATATAATATCCAGAGAGTGGTGGAAAATGATGTTAGTTTTCATGGTTTTACTGATTATGAATATTGAATGATGAACATCATGGTACAGAGAAATTTCTGCCAGTATGTAGAAAATAATCCAGCTCTATTTTCACCATAAATGCTGTCAACACCCTCATTTACAACAGATTAATCATTCATCAGATTCATTTGCACTCCCTTCAGAGCAGCTTCCTAGCTACAATCAGCTTGATATAGAGATCAGGGAGCAGAGCGGCAGTCCTTCACACCCCTCTGCAGTCCCTTCAGAGCAGCTTCCTAGCTACAATCAGTTTGATATAGAGATTAGGGAGCAGAGCTGCAGTCCTACACACCCCTCTGCACTTTTGTTAGAGCAGCCTCCAAGCTACTATCACTTCAATATAGAAACTGTGTCTGTCCCTCTTCCTCGGCTCTTTAATGCGAAACAATCAATTAGTAAAGGAGTAAATAACAAGAACCTTACTAGAATTAAAACTGCTCACATAGTTGAACCAAGTAGTTGTAAGATAAAATGTTGTCTACTGAACATAAGGTCTCTAAGTTCCAAATCTGTGTTAATAAATGAACTAATCTCTAATTGTCGCATTGATTTACTCTCCCTTACTGAAACTTGGCTGCGCCAGGATGAATATGTCATCCTCCTCCCTGATATTTCAGTAGATTTCTTTTTGAAGAGGAACATCATCAGTAATGTGGACATTGGAAGAACTACAGGGCTCATTCACACTATTCTGAGAATAAAACCTGGACTTACCAAGCAACTCTGCAGCTCCTCACAGCTGGGATCAGTCTCAGTCGTCCCTGGTCTGATGTGTTATAGTTCTTTAAGTTCAACTCATCCAGAACCTCATCTGACATCTGCAGCATGTAGGCCAGAGCAGAGCAGTGGAACTCTAAGAGTTGCTTCTCTGATCTGTTCTCTGACTTCAGGAACTCTTGAATCTCCTGATGAACTGACAGATGGTTCATCTCCATCAGACAGTGGAAGATGTTGATGCGTCTGTCAGGAGAGATATCTTCACTGTTCATTTCCTTCAGGTTGTTGATGACTCTTTGGATCATTTCTGGACTGTTGTCTGTGTGACCCAGCAGACCTCCTAAGAGTCTCTGGTTTGACTTCAGAGAGAGTCTATGAAGGAAGCAAATTAACAGGTCCAGGTGACCATTTTACAGACCAGTGATTTCTCCATGGCACTCTTCAGGAAGACATCAATGAGAGTGCACTTTGAGGAGCAACAGTGGAATACATGAGCTGCAGCCAGAAACTCCTGAACACTCAAATGAGCGAAACAATAAACTATTTTCTGGAAGATCACACTCTCTTCTGAAGATCTCTGTACAAACTCCTGAGTACACTGAAGCCTCTGAGACATCCAGACCACACGGCTCCAGATCTTCTTGGTGGAACATGATGTCTCCTTTCTCCAGATGTTCAAAGGCCAGCCTCCCCAGCTTCAGGAGGACTTTCCTGTCAGCCTTTTTCAGCTCCTGAGGACTTATCTTATGTCCTCCAGAACTGTAGCAGTGATCCAGCAGAAGATCCATGACACATGATGTGGAGGCTCTTCGAGGACTTGATGTGTGAGATGATTCTTCTGGACAGATCTTCATCTCTGAATCTCTTCCTGAAGTACTCCTTCTGGGTGTCAGTGAAGCCTCGTACTTCTGTTACCCTGTCCACATATGAAGGAGGGATCTGATTGGCTGCAGGTCGAGAAGTTATCCAGATGAGACCTGAGGGGAGCAGGTTCCCCTTGATGAGGTTTGTTAACAGAAAGTTCAGTGAAGACTTCTGTGTGACATCAGACACCACCTCAGAGTCTGTGAAATCCAGAGACAGTCTGCTTTCATCCAGACCGTCAAAGATGAACAGAAGTTTGCAGACAGCCAGCGTCTCTGCTGTGACCCTCTCTAGTGTTGGATGGAAAACATGGAGCAGACTCAGAAGACTGATGCACTCATCTCTGATCAGGTTCAGCTCCCTGAATGGAAGCAGGATCACCAGATTGAGGTCTTGGTTCTCCAAACCCTCTGCTCAGTCCAGAGTGAACTTCTGCACTGAGAAGGTCTTTC